ACCTGAAAAGTGAACAGAATTACGTGGACTGTGGGGCATATCAGAACATATTATGCAATCTGGAGACAGATTAAGCAGAAATTTAGAGAAGATTACAAGGAAAGATCATTAATAAATTAATGGCCAAAAAATATAGGTTCATGCGGTTAAGACTTCACCTTGAGAATAGAAAAAGGGCAAATTAAACAAACAGTACAGAAAGAAGAAACAAGTCAATGAAATAGACAAACCCAAAAAAAAAAAAAAAGAAACCAAAACATAGTTCTTTGAAAAGATAACAAGGTTGATAAACCTCTGGGCAGCTTGATCAGGAAAAGAAACAAATTACCAGGATCAAGAATAGAAGAGAGTGCATCTCTACAGATCTTACATACATTAAATGGATAGTTAGACTATATTATGAACAACTTTATACTAATAACAAAGTTGACAACATGGATGAACTATGTAAATTCCTTGAAAGATACAAAGTATCAAAGTTCACTCAAGAAGTGAATGACCTGAATAGCACTATATCCATAAAATACATTAAATTCATAGACATCTTCCCACAAAGAAAACTCCAGGTCAACTGGGCACAGTGGCTCATACCTATAATCCCAGCATTTGGGAGGTCAAGACGAGAAGATTGCTTAAGACCAGGAGTACAAGACCAGGCATGAGTAACTGGGCCTACAGGCAGGCACCACCATGCCTGGCTAATTTTTTAAATTTAAAAAATTGAAAAATTGAAAAATTAGCCAGGCATGGTGGTGCCTGCCTGTAGGCCCAGCTACCGAGGAGGCTGAGGTTGGGGGGTTGCTTGAGCCCAGGAGATCAAACAGTGAGCCATGATCATGTGCCACTGTTCATGGGCAACAGGGCAAGACCCTGAAAAAAAAAAAAGGGAGAGAAAAACAAAAGAAAGAAAAGAAAAGAAAAAAAGGAAAAAGGAAAAAGAAAGAAAGGAAGGAAAGAAAAGAAAAGAATAGAAAAGAAAAAAGAAAACAAAACTCCAGACCAAGATAATATCATTGGAGAATTCCACATAACTTGTATGGCATAAATAACAGTAACTCTACAGAAACTTTTCCAGAAAACAGAAAAAGGAACACATCCCAATGCATTTTATGAGGCCAGGATTACCCTGAAATCAAAACCAAAGACATTACAGGAAAAGAAAATCACAGACCAGTATCCCTCACATATGCAAGACCTATACCTTGGAAACTACCACACATTGCTGAGAGAACTTTTAAAAGATCTAAAATGGTGAGATATAACATGTTCATGAACTAGAAGATTCAATATAGTTACTGTATTGATTCTTCCAAATTGATTTAATGATTCAAAGCAGTACCAATCAAAATCCCATCAGGCTTTTTCATAAAAACTGACAAACTAATTGTAAATTTATCTGAAATAGTGAAGGAAATAGCCAAAATAATTTTGGAAAAAAAAATCTGAACAACTTGAACTACCCAAAACCAAGACTTACTATAAAGACACAGT